TATATATATAAGTTAAAATAACTTTTGTGATACGGAAATATGTGTACGAATATTTAAGTACAGTTGATGGAAGTGTTGTAATAAGATCATAAGATTTGATTTAGTATTAATCCTCTATAACATTTTGTAATTTGGAATTCAATAACCATGTATTACGTATAAAATATTTCTTATTATATTCTTGTATCTTATAAATATATTACAATAATGATATTAAGTAATTTGTTTATATCATTTATTGGTTTTAAGATTTCAAACCAAAACTTTGTAATCAGTTAATTATTTTTTTTTTTTTTTATAAATAAACAAGTTATGGAGGGTTAATAATCGAAGTTCGAGTTTTGCTCAGGATGTATAATGTCAACATAGAGTTATTTCTTTTTTAATAGTATGTTTAAAAAAATTTTGTATATATAGTTTAGAAAACAAGTTCTATAAATACGTTATTTTTAATATATATAGAATAATACATGTACGTAGAAATTACAATTTTGTAATGCTGCATCCACATATAATTTCGTAATTCTAAATGGCAACTGTATGGCTTTTTTTTTATGAAAATAAGTGAAAATATAGTTAGAAATTACTTGAAAAACAATTAATATAATATCTAGAGTTATTAGATTGTCTTTTCACACCAGAAATTTACTATAAAGCATAAGTAAATAAAAAGATTATCATTTTTTTTTTAGAAATATTTAAAATAAAAATTAAAATTAATGAAAAATACAGAGTTCAATTTAATATTCCAGAAATTTTGAATATGATCAATTTTGCCTTATAATACTGAGTCATAACAGTCGTATAGATTATCACTTAAGAGAGAGTTATTTTATGCAATATAAATACAAGGAGGTTGAAGTTAGTTTTAATTCAATGTTAATTGCTTTATATCACTATTAGATATCATCAAATACAAATTAAAGACAATGTTTCAATATTTTGCATCTGCCAAGATTTTATAGCAGTAAATAACTTATGCTCGCTTAAATAAGTATATATACTAAAAAGATGGCAAGGCAAAAGGTTAATATTTTAATTTCTAATCTTTTACCGCAGAAGAATTCCATTTATCTGAATGCGTCACATGGACAAATAGTTCATATAAATGGAGTTCATTTATAAACACAGGTTCTCCTTATTATCTACAATTTTTATCTATAAATAATAAAAATTCATCGTTTTGGATAAATACAATTAGTAGGATTTCAGTTAATCAGGCATTAATCGAAATCTTATTTCAATTGGTGGAGTTCAGATAAATAAAATTCTACTGTATAATGCTTCCATCAACTATACTTCGTATAATTATGGTGTAATGCATATAAATGGGAATAAAAATAATTCTATTAAAGAAAAAACGTGTACGTACGATTTAACTCTTGAAAAGGCGGATAATAGACTGCCTGGATACATTTGGACCCATAATAACAATATATAATCTGCATTTTAAATAATTTTTATTATATTTGCTTTCTATACTTCTTACTGTAAATTAAACAATTATTATTCATTGTTATTAATCGAACAGGTTATTGAAAGTTTAATGTGCGGGCGGCCCAAAAGTACCCCAGGCACCGCCCAACGAGGGTTAAATTAAATGATCCGATATCTAGGGGAGTGATGAAAGGATTAATAGAAAAAAAAAAAATAATAAAAAATAAAAGGAAACAAAAAAAAAAAATAAAAAAAATGAAGAATGCAAATAAAAAAGAACGAGAGAACGCGAGAAAAAGAAAAGAGGGCCGAGATTGAAAAGAGCACAATTGATCGTAGCAATACTACAGAGGCTGTACATGATATTTTTTAGTCCGAGGTAGGTAGTTCCTACCTTCGAAATTGAATCGAGGCACTCGATCAAAAGGAAACTTACAATTTAATCCATCATTGAAAAATAATGGATAAGTTCATAGAAAACAAGAGAACGAGAAAGCAGATAAAAGAAAACGGAAAAAAAAAAAAAAAAAAAAATATAAAAGAAGACAATTGTCAAGTTAAGTTCTTCAAGCAGAAACAACTTCTATTGTTGTATTTCGTTCGTTTTTCCTCATATTGCGCGATTTTGCGAACCGTGTATATTCTCTTTCTAACTGTCCGATGCGATTTCCTTTTTTTTTCCACGTTTACATTGCTGAAAATCGATTTTGTTGTCGCGAGCTATTCAAGAGGGCCTTCACCCTCTCGACGTATCGATACACAACGTACTATTGGTCGTCGAATTCGGTCGTCTGAACGCCGATCGTTTTTGCTCTTTTTACTGTCCGTTTTGCTGTATTTTGTATTGTTCGTGCGCGATCGTTTTTTTAAACGCTTGCTCAATTCCCGATAGTATTTTTGGACGACGTTTTACGAAATAAGAGAAAAATACAACAAAAACGCGTTTATTTTTCTCTCGGGTAGTGTGTGTGTACGCGTTGATATGTTCAAGCGAATATAATAGCAAAGATTTTCCCTCTTTTCTTCTTTCTTTTTATTTTATTTTATTTTTTCTCATTTTCTTATTTAAAATGTCGTCCAGATAAGAGAATTTGGAAATGCACAAAGGAAACGATGTTTCGTTGAAGCAACAATATGATAATAACTGTTACATTATTCTTCGATAATTATATAGCGTTTAAAAATCGTCCTTTTGCGTATCGCATTTTCACGTTCGTCCAATTTCATTGCTGACGACTAGAAAAAAAAAAAAAAAGAATCTAATTTTTTTATCAAAGACATTTGTCTATTTTCGTTAATCTAAAAAAAACGCAGCACTAAGAACGCGCAATCTTTGTTTCCAAGACAAAAAATAGAAGAAAAAAAAATATATATACGTACGAATCTTTTCAAGCAGAGTGTTTTTTCAACTGTACTGTGTTCATTCCGTTTGATTTTTTTTTTTTTTTTTTTAATCAATTTTATCTTTTATGATA